AATTAGCTAGATGAAATCAAATGCTCAAAATGCTTCCTTTCCTGTTAACTGCATAAAATGATTGTCTTCTCAAAAGGATCTTTTCTTTTTAAAAGGCATATATGGAGTTCTACCTCGAAAAGCAACTACAATAATTTCTCTCATGTTGTCGACAATAGTTGGACGAGTTTTTTAAACACTGTCTTTAACATATCCCCATAAAAAAGCCCAGACTAGATAAAATCAGGAGCATTTAAGTATTCTATTAATTGGTGAATGCATTGGTGAATGCACAATCAAATCAATTATCTCTGATGTAGGATAAGTTTGCATATTCTCTCTCTGAGAATTATTTTTGTTTTAACTGACACAAAATGATAACTAGTTGTTAAAGTTGGACTAGTTAGACAGCTATGTTGAAGTAACGTCAGACATTGTTGTCTGTCAGACATCAGCTATGTTGAAGTAACGTCAGACATATGTTGAAGTAACGTCAGCCACCTAGATTTTAAAGGATTTTGTCAAATAATAAAAATCTACCCAGATCAAATCATGTAAATGAAAATATCTAGGAAAATCTTTGTTTGAGGGGTAGGAAACCTTAATAGTATTTTGAAGAGACATGAATTCTCCATTGAATATCGGAATAATATACTGGATGTTCTATTTAATATAAAAGAGTAACATGCTTTTATAGGTGAGCAATGTTCAATATTAATTTTGTCTCACCTGTATAATTTTTTGGATCAAATTTTAATTTGATTATACTTAATTTAACTACATATTAGGCTATACCGGGTAAATTCCAATTTAGGTAGCTTTTATTGTAATTTAAAAATTGTTCTTTATTTCTAGAAAATGTTAAATATGTCAAAAACCTTATATTTTAGTCATATACTTTTCTTATAAAGCTCACCTTTATTTTTCTCCCAGAATCTGAAAATCAATTAATATATAGGGTATTCTATTCCAAAAAACACAACTTTGATATGTAACTTTTTTTGGGGACACCCTGTAGAACTCTATATTTTTAAAAAGTGCTCTGTATTAACCTACATATGCTCACAAAATTTTATTTCAATACAAACTGTCGTTTTCCTTGGAGCCTCCGCGGCATATGAGAGGCGCCACTCTGTACAGGAAAGAAAATGAAATATTTATGTATGTACAAGAAGTATTTGTGGAAGCCATAAACATGTTTAACTATTTTATGTTTACTTACCGTTAGCTTATGTTTTGAAAATAAAGTTTTGTTGAAATTGGTTTGTTTTATTTAAACAAGTTTTGAGTATAAATATTTTTTAAGAAAATAAGCAAGGCCATCAACTGCATACCATTTACATAACTTTTTGGTAAATTCTAGACATTTGGGCGAGGTTTCAAAAAATATTTCGCCCTTGCCTCTTTTCTACCCTCTCGTCCTCTATTTTTTATTTTTAAAGTAGGCAACCCTATGTTAGCTACATGATGCGGGTGCTTGAGAAAGAGTGGGAAAAATTTGGATTGATAGTAAATATCAAAAAGACTGACTACATGTCTGTAGGTAGCGACGATTATAGTGATTTGGATATTGGTATGGGCGAAACAATAAAACACTGTTCCAAATTTAAATACCTTATACATCTTTGCTCAGATGGCAAAAGTAATGAGGATATATCCAATACAATAAGACAGGAAAAATGAACTATTAGGGAATTAAACTCCCTTCTTTGCAGCGATAGAATATCAAGAAGAACGAAACACATGATTGAATCTGTTTGTACCCACGGATCGGAGACGTGGGAACTCACAAGGAGAAACAAAGATTACTTGCACTAGAAATGGACTATTGAACGCACAGTAACAGAACTTCTCGCTGAGAAATGTTTATATAAGAGAGGAGATAGAGCAAGTAAATAATACTATCTTGGATACCATAGAGAATCCCAGCGATTGTTATGGTTTGACCACCTCTAAAGAATGGAAGATTTAATAATACCCAAGAGAGGTATGGAACTGGATCCCAGTAGAGAGAAGAAAACGAGGAAGACCAGCAAGAACATGGCGCGATGATGTACAGGAAGCCAAGCTTGAAAGACACCTGAGAGATGGTGACTGGTGGGACGACAATTTATGGAAGCCGAGGAGCCGGAGACGATACTATCCGTAAAAACACCCGCCTGTATATTTATACAATCAAAGAAACAATAGCCATACATTACTAACGTCTATTTATATTGCCTGAGCAATATATTTATTTATATTAGATTGGATTAAAAAAAGCTTTTCTTATTTTTCTTTTAGAGGTTATTGGTTCTTTCATCATAATTTTTGCGCTGGAAAAGTCTATGTGCCCTCAATTCCATAAAAGAATAAAAAACTATTTTTACACAAAATAACTTTTTTATTTTGTAGATTTTGTTCTAATTTCAAAAAACCCAAAAGTATTTTCAGGAGATAAAGTTAGAATCATAATTAGGTAAATTATGAAATAATATAATTTTTGATCTACCGTTAAAAACGTGGAATTACCAGCTATGAAAAGCATTAACTTTTAAAACACTAGTAAAATTTCTGTACTCCATATTTTAAATTATTTATTTATTTTATTTTATATATAAATTATTTATTTATTTTTTTAATATTATACTATAATATGTATTTCAGCATATTGTTTTTATATTAGTTAGTGGATCTACTTGACACAAATTAAATTATTCTTATGTGTATTACACAGGTTTAGTAGTGAAAGGAAAATCATAGCCTTATAAGTTATGGAATAAATTTTTATGTAATTCTAGTTCTGAAATTTAAAAAAAATATTTTCCTGTTGCAGCCCTAAACCCTAAACCAACTCAAAATTTATATTCGCGTAACATAAAAATTTGTTTTATTTTATTACATTAATGTGTTCTTTAATTTTCACTTCTCCGATTTTCACTTATACCGGGTGCGTCTCAAAAGTGGCTCAACACTATAATTTTTTTATTTTTTCAGATAAAACAACGATATTTTGTTATTATTTATATAACATAAATTAAGATTGATTGACATATTTAATTGTTTTCGGTCATTTTCGGTTTCACCCGAAATGACTACAGCTTTTAATTTTTAACATGACACTCTGAATAGAATATATGCCATATTATATGTCAGCTTTTGACATTTTCGCATATGGTTTATTTGAAATTGTAAGAGCGCTTTCACACACGCCGGCAAAATCGGTGCCGATGCCGAAGCTGAAATCGATTGCAATGTAAATAAATTAGCTCTTTCACATATATTCCGATCCGGTAAAATAGTCGGGGACCGGCAAATATAATAGAATTAAATACAACTGTCGGAACGGCTGCAAAGCCGGCGCCGACTCTGGCACCGGTTTTGCCGGTGTGTGTGCAAGCGCTCTAACATGCGGTCCATAACGACAATTTGACTCGAAATACCAAATGTGTGGTATTAAATTATTCGTAAAAAAATGCTTTTTCCAAATATGCTAATGAGCCACCCCCGTTCCATTTGAAAAAATTATGATATGATTAAAAATACGATTTGGACATCTTTTAGACGGCCAGGATAAGACACTAAAAACATTAGACGATCAAAGCTATTTTTCCAAGGCTCCTTCATTAAAAATTAGTGTTTTTAACACATCTATGTTACTCTAGATTAAAATTTAAAATACAATTTGTTTTTAAACGAATATGTCAAAAGATGACATATGATTGATATTATTTGATTCAGAGTGTCATTTTCCATCGAATATAGTAAAAAAATACTGAACGTGCCATTTAAAAATCAAAACTTGTAGTCATTTCCCATGAAACCGAAAGTGACCGAAAACAGTTGAATATGTCAATCAATCCTAATTTATGTCATATACTAACCAAACCAAACCAAACCAAATCTCGTTGTTTTATATGAAAAAAATAAAAAAGTTACAAGGGTGAGCCACTTTTGAGACGTACCCGGTATATCATAAATTAGGATTGATTGACTTATTCAATTGTTTTTGGCCACTTCCTGTTTCAGCGGAAATGACTACAACTTTTGCTTTTTAAATGGCACTCTCGATATTTTTTTACTTTATTCGATAGAAAATAACAGTCTGAATAGAATGACATATCATATGCCAACTTTTGACATTTTTGCTTAATAAAAAATCGTATTTTAAATTCCAAATCTACAGTGCCATGGCTATGTTAAAAACACTAATTTATAATCAAGGAACTTTGGAAAAATATATTTGATCGTCTAATGTTTTAGTGTCTTGTCCTGGCCGGTTAAAAGATGCTAAATATGCTCATAAGCATGTATTTAAAAAAGCATTTTTTACGAATACATAATTTGATACCACACACTTTATGTCACATACTAACATACCAAATCTCGTTTTTTTAAATGAAAAAATAAAAGAGTTGGCACATGGCATGGGTGAGCCACTTTTGAGACGCACCTGGTTTATATATAAGATGTTACTAATAAACTGAGTTTCATGGCTAAATGAGTTATGGAACGGTATGGGCGTTGTAAAATTATTTTAATAATTTAAGCCATAAAAGGTTACGTTTTTTGTAAGCTCTACAGGAGAACTAAACAGAACAACGAACAGTAGCTCTAGACAGAACGAATACATGAAACACACCGTGCTGTGTGTTTTTTTAATATTTGACTGAAAATCTCTCAAATGCATCAAAATCCCTCTATATTATAAATATTAATAGATATAGACAATAATTAAAAGTTAATTTAAAGCGAGTTTTATATTTGGTTTTATAGTGTTGTATTATAGTGGTAAGATGTAGGATTAGAATAACAATTATCGAAGATGAGCACGAAAGCACGTGAGCGGTGAGCGACGTTCGGCCCAGCCTGCGGCAGGGACGTCTCGATTCCCGCGTAGTTTGGGGGGTGCCGCGGCCGGAAGCGCGTAGCGGCGCGCGCGCCCCCTGCACTGGCGCAGCCTGCGCGCTGCTATCGAACGCGGCACGGAGGCAGTCCGCGCCCGGCTTCGCTGCGGCCATGACCGACCAGCTGTCCGCGCTATGACCTTTCGCATGCCCGTGCTCTGCTGCGTGCTGCTAGCGTTGCTGGCAGCAGCACAACACGACGACGATGCCAATCTTCTGGACGAGAATGTCACGGTCGAAACCACCTCCTACTTCGTGTCTTCGCCCGTTCCGCCACTCACACTCAATGCCTCCTCTCATAAGAAAGAGGATCCCCTCTTTCCCAAGGATCTGTTCACCGACGAGCAGCTCAAGTCCGGGGCCATAATTTTTCACATAATGGGCGTCATTTACATGTTCGTCGCTCTCGCCATCGTCTGTGACGAGTTCTTTGTTCCGGCGCTAGACGTCATCATCGAGAAATTCGAGATCCAAGACGATGTGGCGGGCGCGACCTTTATGGCAGCCGGTGGCTCTGCACCTGAGCTCTTCACCAGCGTCATCGGCGTGTTTGTCTCCTTCGACGATGTAGGTATTGGGACCATTGTCGGTTCTGCAGTATTCAACATCCTATTCGTTATCGGAATGTGTGCAATTTTCTCCAAAACAGTTCTAACGCTCACCTGGTGGCCCCTTTTCAGAGACTGCTTTTTCTACTCGATCAGCTTAATAGCGCTAATTGTTTTCTTTAGAGATAATAGAATTCAATGGTACGAGGCCTTGATTTTGTTCAGCTTTTATATTGCCTACGTCAGTTTTATGAAATGGAACCAGCCGATGGAACGGCTCGTTAAAAAAGTTGTTTACAAGAACAAAGTTACTAGAGTGAGGTCTACCGATCAACTTATGCCAACGGTAAGTAGGTTCATACAATTTAATAGTTTGTATGTATGGGCGCTTATTTACACAGATTTTTATATTATGTCATAAATCCATATTATAGAGAATACTTCTTAAATTGTGTGTCTAGTAGCCTGAAAATAAAGCGATTATAGATCACGTGACTTTTTGAATTTATCCGATATAGGTAATATAGATGTAAAATTTGTTTAAGCTAGTAATCTCTTGTCACTTCGACCAGCTTCAATCTTTAATGGGTGACTCTAATCTCTAAATTATCCAGTGAAGTCCAAATTACTTGTAATGGTATATGTATTTGTGTAGTAATAAGCAGATTAATCACGATAAACATACTACTGGTGTGCTACATACAGAACAGAATTGCGTAGATTCTGCGCAATGCATTAACTGGAATACATATTTTATGTGGCGGCATTTGTTTATAAACTAGTTCCCTTATTATACATTTGTTCTACAAACGCTTGTGGTCATTTTCAAAGATTTTATGCACGAAGTAGAAAATGTCGAATTGTTCCATATGTAACAAACCATACACAGGAAACATGTATAAAGGTTATATATAACATAACAACCTATTCAGTTCAACCATTACTGTGTTTATTTTCCTACACATGCGAGTAGTCAGCGCAGCGCACCAGTTTCGATTGTTTTTTTTAACTAAGCCTCAGTGAAGACTCGAATTGTTGTGACGCGAATATCTTGGAAACAGCAAATTTAAGTATAAAAGACTAGAAGTGACGGGCTGATACTTAATAGGCTATGTATAGTATAGGTATGTGAATTCTGTATATAATATTGGTGTACGGATACATTTATTGTAATTCAATTTATTGTTTTCTTTTATTATTATAAATTAATTTTCTTGTTTATGTTTCACTGTAAATAAAACAGATTCCCGCTATATGTTTTATACCACATGGTATCAAAACCTATATTAGAACATAGCGATAGTGTGTCGTGCATTAAGCTAAGTGTTATGGATTGTCGTTGAAAAATAATGATTGAAATGAGAAAAATCTTAACGCGTACTCTACTCCTAATGAACTTTTTTAAATGTCGCAAACGCCCCATTAATGCCAACTGCTATTTATACCTTTCAACTCTTATTGTTTTTTTTTAATTATCATATGTATTTTCTGTCATTTTTTGGATGTCATTTGTTGAAATCGTCTCTCCTTTCGTGGATCTACTTTAAGAATTAGTGTTTATTCCTAATCTAAACAAGAAAGCACATTTTTTCTAAATTGCCGTGAAGTGTCAAGAATCAAACATTTTTTTCTATTTATATTTTTTTTAGTATTGAACCTACAAAGTATAATGCAGATTTACATATATTTCACAATGGTTTGAACGTGTTTGTTATAGTTATTTACAGTACAAGTGTGTTTATGAACATGAATACGAGCGTGAACTATTAGAACGACGAGGTCGTAGACCGAGTCGTTCTAATCACACGAGTGTTGTAATCATGTTTAAACGCAGGTGTCATGTACAACGTTTTATCTACAACCGAAAAATAAGAAAATGCTGTTTTATTTTCGTTTATTAGTCGCCCACCTTTAACTATGACATTTGCCAAAATTTTTTAATTATATTTTTTTTTCTGAAAAGTCAGTTTACACTGTCAAGTAAACGCGAGCACTTTTTGCCCAGAAAAATAATTTTAAAAATTAGAATTGTTTTGAAGAAGTGTAAAAAATGTGTTATTAATATTTATAATAATTAGTAGTAGGAATTTGTATCAAAAATTAATATATTTAGATGTCTGGTTGGTTTTTAGTTGTTATAAAGTAGTTGTTTTCAATTATTATAAAAACTAGTTGTGTTATAGATTCATAACACCACTAGTTGTGTTATGAATTAACGATTTATTTTTTTTGAAATCTTAAGGCGGATTCTCACGACTCGTGTACTTGGCAAGTACGCCAATATTTGCGTACTTGGTCAATGCCACGAGTGACAAATAACTGCAGAAGTGAACAGCTCACACGACATGGCAAGTATATGCTAATAACACATGTTTGTACAAGTACACGAGTCGTGCGAGTCCGCTTTTATAGATAAATAAATGTATTTTTATTTACGATTTTATTTAGATAAAAAATATTTATATCGAAAATTGACATTTTTTTATATCATTTTAAGTAGCACCAGCACAATAAATTATATTTATTAATTCATCAAGTGTTAAATTTAGTGTGAAATTAATTACACAGATAAATGAAACAAGTTCAGATTGGAAAAGACCCATAAGCACAATGTAAATACCTACTATTTGGCACTGTTCTTGCAACGGACGCGATCCAAAGCTTTTGGTAATTTTGGAGCGGTTTGACATTTTCTGTAATTATATATATCGGCAGATATTTTTTATTCAAATTTATCATTACTTTCCTTTAATTTCATAAATAAAATACAATGAGTTACATATAACACATGTATGAAACACCAAAAATATGTTAAAAACCTGTAAAAACAGGAGTGCGAAGCGTGAAGAAAAAAAATATGACCATAACACAGATTACCATAATATAGTCTGTCCCTTTGGTCTGTCCATCGAGAAGATCCTTGACAGAGATGTGTCTGTCATTTTAATTTCAAAGTAGTTTATTTTATTTTACAAAGAAATAAGTTGGTACAACTGGAACGCATAGCAGGATATATCTGGATATATTTAAAATTTGATTGACAAGATGACAAGTGATTACTTCAAAATATTGTGAAAAAAACTGTATAAAACTGAAAAAATGTAATCGAGTTATTTTATTTAATAAAAACGGTATGTGTTAATACAAAACAAACAAAAACAAGACACTACATACCAAAAAAATATGAAAAAGAACTATTATTTACTTTCAAGCTTTATGAAACTACCCGCATTTATGATTATATTTATCAATATAACTTATGTACAAATACAAATTTGTAATATTCCACAGGAATAAATAAAACAACATAGGTAAATAAAACAAACTACCTATTTTATTAATAATAACACCTACCAAATTTTATACCTTAAAGGTTGATTAATTAACTTTAATCTTAATTTTTTTAAACCAGTACCTTTTGACATTATTTTTCTGCAGTACTAAAATCCATTATTTACCTATCGTGTGATGTCGATATTTTACAGCTACTCCAGTTTTTAGTATGTGTTTAGTTTGATCCAGAGGTTTGATCCTTCTACCATATACGAGATGCACTTATCTACGACGAAATGGTATTATATACAAACTTTATCGATGGCAACTTCATTGGTGAATAAAACTTTCTACCTGAGCAGCGAGTATAAAACCATAAACTGTGCTCTGAGTCTACAGTTAATTTTCATTCGATTTTTCCTCCACTTGACTTCAAAAGACACAAAACACACGTAATAATACGAATCAAAATGCATCATCTTCCAAAACGCAGGGTATTTAACAAAAGTTGACACTAAATTCTAACCTATAATTTGGCAAGACTTTGACAAGCGTCAAAAATGACAAAAATCTAAAGACGAGTTCATACGCATCGGCGTCCGTTTGTGGTTCATCTTTCCGTCAAACCAATAAAATTGAAATACGATCTGTCATTTTTTAAATAAACCAATAAAACTGGTTAAAAACAACCAGACACGACGCATGACGGATTTATATTTAAACCCATCCATAGATAACTTAAAAATTATTAGAAACTTTTTTAGTAAAATAAATAGATTGGTATTGGACGTCATCTGCTTTTCTTCTGTCACCGTCTGTCGAAATCTTACCTGAGAAAAAAAACAGAGTTATACCTATAATATTTATTTTAATGTTGGATCATAGTTAAAAACTTATCCCCAAGATCAATCTTTGGAAGTCGATGTTTTATCCTACGTTGGTTTTCGCAGTTCACACAGCAGTGTTTATGTTTTTTTTAATGCTACTTTTTCACAATTATCAAGAGTTTCGCGTAAATATAGGTAAAATTAAACTCTTAAGATCGCAATTACTTTGAAAAAGAACGCTTTATACAAGTTTCGGTATTTTTTCAACAAGAACGGTTTACATTTTTGAGATTTTTTAACTCTTGAAGATATTGACCTTGACAAGAGGAGGCTTCCTCTTCTTGCTTTCGGTTGTTCTTTATTGATGAGCAAGACCAAGACTAGCGTTTTATCTGCAAGACCAAGACCGACCATGCAAGACTGATACAAGAGCAAGACTAGCATGAAAGACACTTGCGGTCACACACGCTATTTACATATCATTTTTTATAGACAATAATTTAAAAAAATAACGAAATTTTTATTTACTTAACCCTCACCCTTATAATTTTTTTTTAAATAAAAAAATTAAGTATTTTTTGTTGAAACATACCGTATTAGTTAAGTCGTTCATGTTTTTTGAATAATTCAAGTACATATTTTATAATTGCCCGAAAAAAAATCGGACCATCCTTTACAGGTGGTTTTTTTCGTGAATCTTCAGCAGCATATTCTGGAAATAAAAATAAGTAAAAAAGTTATATAAATCTCCTAATATGCTTCTTTTCGGAGCCACGTGGTGTAGAAATTTGATTTTTATTTCGATTTTTTCCAAATAATTTTTGAACTAACGCCCATATTTCGATGAGGATTGGTGTCTGGATGCATTGTGACATGATAAATTCGATATCAATGCCAGTAGGACTGCTACTTGTAGGAATCACCGCATATTTTTTAACTGCTGTGAAGTGTAATAACTTTTTGTACGTATCTATATTACGCTACTGAGTAAAAAAAACATACATTTTCGCCGTTTTTACGTGGAAAAAGGTTTCTTGGAAATCAATTTCTTCAAATCGCTACGAGCAGCCGTTCTCAAGATATTTGGAATCGAAATTACCGACATGTCCTCATTAACAAAAAAATAAACATTTTGATTTGATAGTTGACTGTAATGATAAAAGTGGGAACTCTTCATGTTTTATAACTATTAATTATATTTTTTTCTGGAAAAAGGGCGATAAAACAGTCTCAACACTGTTCAACT